AGGATATTCAGACACAGTAAGAGCTGAAGCATGAAGTCTAACACAGCCTCTTCTGACGCATCACTTCCATCTGCGGCGTCTTCGATTGTGCATTTGACTTGTGTCTACAGGGTTTAGACTACAGAGTAATGCGGTTCCTCTGGAGAGAACCCGGATCAATACCGCTACATCAAACAGCACCGCGGGGGGGCGAGGAACAGGCCGAGTGATTACAGAGCCTGACAGAACAAAGCTTCTCCCAGCGTCCGTCTCTCCTCTGTAAAACCCCAGCGCTGCAGTGTAACACCAAGTATCAGCGCATCACTATATGCCACTGTTCTTCACACTGATGGAGAAGGTGTTGAGTCTACTGTTACTAGCTTGACATCAGAACACCAGAACCCTTTTGGCTGCCATATAGAACCATATACCACACATTCTCTAACAATCTGAAGAACCATTTCACCATTAATCATGCAAATGGTTCTGAGAGTTTTCATGATCCTACACAGGACCACTGTCTTTACTAAAGAACCCTTGAAGAACCATCTTTTTTAAGTGTCTACCCTCACCGTCCACTTTATCAGCTCCACTGACCACACAGTCTCACTCTGTAGATCTACAGTTACAGACTGTAGTCCATCTGTTTCTCTGCATACTCTGATACCCTGTTCTTCAGTGGTCAGGACCCCCATGGACCCTCACAGAGCAGGTACTATTTGGGTGGTGGGTCATTCTCAGCACTGCAGTGACACTGGCATGGTGGTGGTGGTGGTGTGTTGCGCTGGTCTGAGTGGATCAGACAACGCAGTGCTGCTGGAGTTTTTAAACACCTTAGTGTCGCTGCTGGACTGAGAACCAAAGACATCCAGCCAACAGCGTCCTGTGGGCAGCGTCCTGTGACCACTGATGAAGGACTAGAAGATGACCAACACAAACTGTGCAGCAGCAGATGAGCTATCGTCTCTGACTTTACATCTACAAGGTGGACTGACAAGGTAGGAGTGTCTAATAGAGTGGACAGTGAGTGGACACAGTGTTTAAAAACTCCAGCAGCACTGCTGTGTCTGATCCACTCAGACCAGCACAACACACACTAACACACCACCACCACGTCAGTGTTACTGCAGTGCTGAGAATGACCCACCACCCAAACAGTACCTGCTCTGTGAGGGCCTTTTACAGAAACCAATGTCAGTAATCAAAACTGGGTATCTGGGTGCAGCTTATCAAAGTGGGCAGAGAGGGGGCGGGGCTTATGCTATGGACACACCCTTATAAACGCTGGGGGTTGTGATTTTTTGGGGTTTGTTTTGTTGGGCTGAGCAGCAGAAGCTGAAAAAGTCGAAAGGCGTGTCTAACCTGAACGTATGAGCGCTGTTACACCTCTAATGCGTCAGAGTCCTTTTTTATCAGCCTATTTTCCTAAAATACTCTAAACTGCTAGATTTAATCCCTGGAGAGAAGCTCCTGTCCTGTTTCTGAAGGGGGACAGAATTTAGCACAGAGTCTCTCACCAGCAGTCTGTATGTGTCTCTCTCCCCTGGCTGGATTGAAGCTAAACAAACAGTGAGCCGGCCCGGCCCGGCCCGGCCCGGCCCGGCCCAAGAGACACCGGGCCAGACTGATAAAAAGTTAAGTTTAAGCTAGTGACTAGCTTAAGTTAGTGACCCTTATTAGTCCCACAACGGGGAAATTTCACCTCCACGTTCCGCGCAGTGAAACACCACCTACACACACACTAGTGAACACACACACTAGGGGGCGGTGAGCACACTTGCACAGAGCGGTGGGCAGCCCTATCCACAACGCCCAGGGAGCAGTTGGGGGTTAGGTGCTCAAGGGCACGTCAGTCATGTACTGTTGGCTCAGAGGATTCAACCGGCGACCTTCCGGTCACAAGCCCACGACTGCCCCCCAGGCTGGGCAGTAACAGCGCTACGCCACAGTAAATTAGAGCTTATTAACACTTTGCTATTTTCATGCTAGCCAAAAGCCAATCAAAATCAACATGCAAATGAGCTCATACATATTTAAGACCACATGCCAAGTGAAGCTCCGGTTGGCTGCTAAAAGAATCTAAAACAAAACAAAAAAAACTAAATTCTTAGAAACAGAGACTCAAATTGTAAGAGAGGAAGTGCTGACAGTGGATAGCAAGTTTGATACAAATGTCTGACTTTTACTCAAGAAATAAAGCTTCCTCTGGAAAAAATCTAATTCTAATATTTTATAAGTCAATTTTTAACTGTACAAAGTCCATTTTAGCATTTAGATTTAATCTGTCATTATTAAGGGTTTAAGCTTTATTCATTACAACTGCAGCAACAATTTTTACTGACATGAATTCAAGTTGAACCTGTTGCTTTTTTATTTACAGCTTAAAGTTATAATAACATCCTGAAATTCTAATGACTGCAGAAGCTGGTTTTAGTTTTCAGCTCCAAATCTCAGGAACTCAATACTACTAAAAACTCCACTCACTAATTTTAAATTTCTACTAGCAAAAATTCAGTTTTGACAACCGAAATTAATTTTCTCTAGAAAACGTCATTCACATGTATGAACTGAATTTGTTTTTAAAATTCACCTGAAACTGAAAACAGGGGCTAAAATCTAAAACTGCTGTCAGTAAAAATCAGTCTGAACGTGTAATTAGAACCTCAGTTGATAATACTGGAGGATATCGTTTTATTTGGTTATACGGACAAAAAAATCAACTTGCTAGTCTGAGTGATGATAAACTCTAATACTACTGATTAAGACTAACAGTGTAGTCTAGCATTTATTCTGACCTGCAGATACACTGATTAATAAACTAAAAATCTCATCACTGGAAATGAAACTTCAATCAACTTTTTTCTTTAACAAGAAATAGATTTTAATGAAATAACTGTGACAGCCCTAAACTCACATAGCTTTGATATTATAAACGTTGTAACGTCGTGGGGGTGGAGCTTAAATAGCTTAATATTTTCAATCATTCATCCAGGGCAAATTACTTATTAGCCACATTAGCCTTGTAGCTCCAGTGCTAATTACTTATTAGCCGCATTAGCCCTGTAGCTCCAGTGCTAATTACTTATTAGCCGCATTAGCCCTGTAGCTCCAGTGCTAATTACTTATTAGCCGCATTAGCCCTGTAGCTCCAGTGCTAATTACTTATTAGCCACATTAGCCTTGTAGCTCCAGTGCTAATTACTTATTAGCCGCATTAGCCTTGTAGCTCCAGTGCTAATTACTTATTAGCCGCATTAGCCCTGTAGCTCCAGTGCTAATTACTTATTAGCTGCATTGCCCCGTAGCTCCAGTGCTAATTATTAGCCACATTAGCCCTGTAGCTCCAGTGCTAATTACTTATTAGCTGCATTGCCCAGTAGCTCCAGTGCTAATTATTAGCCACATTAGCCCTGTAGCTCCAGTGCTAATTACTTAATAGCTGCATTGCCCAGTAGCTCCAGTGCTAATTATTAGCCACATTAGCCCTGTAGCTCCAGTGCTAATTACTTATTAGCCACATTAGCCCTGTAGCTCCAGTGCTAATTACTTATTAGCTGCATTGCCCAGTAGCTCCAGTGCTAATTATTAGCCACATAAGCCCTGTAGCTCCAGTGCTAATTACTTATTAGCTGCATTGCCCAGTAGCTCCAGTGCTAATTATTAGCCACATTAGCCCTGTAGCTCCAGTGCTAATTACTTATTAGCTGCATTGCCCAGTAGCTCCAGTGCTAATTATTAGCCACATTAGCCCTGTAGCTCCAGTGCTAATTACTTATTAGCTGCATTGCCCAGTAGCTCCAGTGCTAATTACTTATTAGCTGCATTGCCCAGTAGCTCCAGTGCTAATTATTAGCCACATAAGCTCTGTAGCTCCAGTGCTAAAACTAAAGAATCAGACTTCAGACACTGAACACGTCTCGGCTGACTGACTTCATTAAGGTGTGTCTGTGTAAATGAGGCTGAACTGTAACATATAAAGAAGCTGCTGCAGCTCCAGCCAGTGACGACACTGAGAATCAGTAAACAGTCTGTATTGACATTTTACAGCCGACACTCCTCAACTGTAAACTGAGCAAAGTCAACAGAGTAACTGAGCGTAACATCACAGCATCAACCCCCCCGTTACCTTCAAACTCACTAACATCTTTATCCTGGGGGTCAATTTGACCCCCGCAATTTAAACATCCAGGTTTTTCAAAAGAAAAAAAGGCACCAATCATTTGTTTAGAGATGTTAAACACTGAACAGGGCCAAACTGGCCCCAAAGAAAACAGCAGGTTAAAGTTTTCAAAGGCAGCTACAGTGTAAAGTAACCAGCTATTTTTAATTGAGTTACTTTTAATGTCAGGCTTGTAATGTGACAGGTTACTTTAAATGGCAGTAAAACTGTAATACAAGTTACTTTTAACTGCAGTAACAGTGTAACAGGTTACGTTTGACTGCAGTTACAGTGTAACAGGTTACGTTTGACTGCAGTAACAGTGTAACAGGTTACGTTTGACTGCAGTTACAGTGTAACAGGTTACGTTTGACTGCAGTAACAGTGTAACAGGTTACGTTTGACTGCAGTAACAGTGTAACAGGTTACGTTTGACTGCAGTAACAGTGTAACAGGTTACGTTTGACTGCAGTTACAGTGTAACAGGTTACGTTTGACTGCAGTTACAGTGTAACAGGTTACGTTTGACTGCAGTAACAGTGTAACAGGTTACGTTTGACTGCAGTAACAGTGTAACAGGTTACGTTTGACTGCAGTAACGTTGCAATATAATGAGTTACTTGTAATGTCAGTAATGTTGTAATATATAAGTATCTTGAAATTGCAGCTACAGTGTAATGAAAAGGTTACTTTTAATTGCAGTAACAGTGTAAAAAGTCTCTTCATATAAAGACTTATATTTTAAAGTTATGTAAGAAGTTACTCTCTAAAACACTGCTACCCAACAATGTCCGTATATGCATAGTACTGTACTCTGCATATTTGCCAGCATGTTACATAACTGTATACAGGTGTATCTTACCTGTCTCTCCAGCCTGCGGGCTCCCCTGCTCCTGGTCCAGCCTCAGGTGGCTCAGCAGGTGTTCCAGAACCTTCTGTGGCGGCGCGGGGACGGCGGCGTACCTGCGGGAGAGACAGGAGGAGTCAGTGGAGTTCTCCTCCTCGATGGAGGACAGCGAGCGGCTGCTGCTGCACCACTCCTCCTCCTCCGTGCCTTCGTCGTCGATGTAGCGAAAGTACGGCACGTCGAAGGTGGGCAGCGTCTTCATCTCGCTGCTGCTGCTGCTGCTGTCGGTGCCTTCGTCCTCGTCCTCGTCTTCCTCCTGCTCCACCAGAGCCACCAGCAGCAGCCTGCCCTCCAGCGGAGGGTCCATAGCCCCAGCCTGGACCTACAGCATCTACCCACAGTTCCTTGGGGCAGCGTGAGTGAAAGCCGGCTATAGGAAGCCCCCCAGATTCCCCCGCTAACAGCTAATGTCAGCCTCTCACGCTCCGGCTCAGAGAGCTCCACGGCAGAGAGAGCCAGGCAATGCAGCACATCCTCAACCAGCGCGGCAGAGAGACTGAGAGAGAGAGGAGGGAGAGAGGGGAGGAGAGAGAGAGAGAGAGAGAGGGGAGGAGAGAGAGAGAGAGAGAGAGGGGAGGGAGATGAGAGAGAGAGGAGGGAGAGAGGGGAGGAGAGAGAGAGAGAGAGAGAGAGGGGAGGAGAGAGAGAGAGAGAGAGAGGGGAGGAGAGAGAGAGAGAGAGAGGGGAGGGAGATGAGAGAGAGAGGAGGGAGAGAGGGGAGGAGAGAGAGAGAGAGAGAGAGAGGGGAGGAGAGAGAGAGAGAGAGGGGAGGGAGATGAGAGAGAGAGGAGGGAGAGAGGGGAGGAGAGAGAGAGAGGGGAAGAGAGAGAGAGAGAAAGAGAGAGAGTGAGAGGGGATGAGAGAGAGAGGAGAAAAGGAGAGAGATAGAGAGAGGGGAGGAGGAGGAGGAAAGAGAGAGAGAGGAGAAAGAGAGAGAGATAGAGAGGGGGAGGAGAGAGGGGAGGGAGAGGAGAAGAGAGTGAGTGAGGAACAGAGAGAAAAGAGAGGGATGGAGATGAGAAGGAAGGAAGGAGAGAGAGAGATGGGAGGGATAAACAGAGAGAGAGAGGAGAAAACGAGAGAGGGGTAGAAAGAGAAACAGAAACAGAGAGAGCAGGCAGAGGGAGTGGGAGGAGGGACAAGAAGAGAGAAAGAAATGGAGGAATAAAAAGAAAAAGAAAAGAGAAGGACAAAGGAGAGTGAAGGAGGGAGGAGAGAGAGAGAGAGCAACTCTCAGACGAGAGAGAAAGATATATATACACAGAGAGAGAGAGAGAGGGTGAGAGAGGGCTGGTCAGAGAATGTGAGAGAGAGAGAGAGTGATTATAGGCAGAAAACGAGCGTAAGCGTGAGAGAGAGAGAGAGACAGAGATAGAGAGAGAGAGAGAGAGAGAGAGAGAGAGAGACAGAGATAGAGAGAGAGAGAGAGAGAGAGAGAGAGAGAGAGAGAGAGAGAGAGAGAGAGAGACAGAGATAGAGAGAGAGAGAGGCTGTGTGTTACCTGTGTGTGGCAGAGGGGGGCGGCGGTGACGACGCCGTGTGGAGCAGCAGCGTCTCTCCTCTCCTCACACACACTCGGACTGCTGCGTCACCCACCGGCTGCAGAGGGGGGGGGGTATTTTATCACCAAGGAGATTCCCTCTCTTCCTGATTTACATCACAAAAAACCCCCAAAACAGACCCCCCCACCTCAGCTACCCAGCCCACATCAAACAGCTTTCATCACACAGGGTTATTTTATCATGCACTGACACAGTGCACCCCCCCTCCCCATTCATATTCATATTCACAGCCTTATACATAATTAATGATTTATTCATCTGTACAGATTAACCCCTAAAACTCCGGACTCATTACTGTACATGAGCTCTATTATTCAGTTATTAATATTATGGATTAAGTAACTGCTAACAGTTACTCAGTAATTACTATAAATATTCTGCATCTCTATGAATTACTGAGTCTCTACTACAAATTATTTGGGATCTACTCTACAGATATATTCAGTATCTGCTATGAATTATTCAGTATACACAGTGTTGGAGTTTAGGGGAAGTCCACCGATTTGTCAGAATTCTTGCATGACTGTCTCAAGAGGAAGAGATTTAAGAAAAGCAGAGAAAGCTGTCACAGCTGATGTGAGAGAAAAGGAGGATTTAAAGTGAAACAACGTTCATTCAGAGTGGTTTGGTGTGAAACGCTCTGTTCTAGATAAACTTACAGAGTCAGAACTGTTCACAGTGGTGGTGATAGGAACCAGACGTCCACCTCTAAAAGCTCCCTCACAGAAAGTTCCTACATGAAATGGTTATGAATTCACTGTCTGATGACTGAGACACTGTTTTATGATAGTTTAGAGAGCTTAAACTCCATTCATGGTGGAGGGATACATGCAGGGCGCTGTGAGGCAAAATAGGCCCAAAGAAAACTTATTATTTCAGATTTTCCACTATTTTCCATCATCAACATTCCATATAAACTCAGAAGACTCGTGTAGGTTCACTGGTGGTTCTGGATAGTAAATAAAATGTCTATATTTGTGTTGTAGTCATGGCGACCCCTGGTTCCTATCACCACCACTGTAAAGACATCTGAACCATCTCACACCAAACCGCTCTGATTCCCTCAGTGTACATATCTGAATTACGCAGAGATGTTGGTGGAATTGCCCTTCTAAGGTTAAGGGATTTATAAATGGTCATATAAACCTGGTTGGCTCTCTCACGGCTGCAGTCAGTGCAGTGTTGTGCGCTGGGCAGTCTGAGAGCTGCGTTTTCACTGTGGGGTTCTGTGATCACCTCGTCACTCGGGTGTTATCAATCTTGCACACTCGCCTGATCTGTCACGCTCACTCACCGCGCGTCCATCAGCGGCTACAGCATCTCTTCTCCTTTCCATTAACCCTCAGTGGTCTCATTTACACACATACACAGCTCAGAGTGGACGGAATCCCCCCCCCATCAGCATCAATACTACAGTCAAAACAAAGCAACGCCCCCCCACACAACATCCACTATGATGAATACAGCAGGATTTCTTTATGTGGTTTCTGTAAATCTTTCATCACTGGCTCCCCTGCTGTGATCTCGTCTGCAGGAAGAGGTGGAACAGTGTTGTTATGCACGCACCGCCTCGGGGCAGCGTCTAAGCAGAGCTGCTTCCAGCCAATTATGAATGTGACACACTATTTTTATGTGGCGGAGATGGTGCTCGTATCATTAACCTCTTTTCAAAAGCAGCTATAAAACGAGTTTAAAAATACAGGAAAAATATCTATAATCATTTTTGCACAGTGAAACTTTCTCTGCTGGACTTATGGCTCATGTAGTGTGATTTGGATTGAAAGGGTCAGTTTGAGCTGGAACAGAAGAGATGTTTTGTTTATATTAATCAACACTGACAGAAAATATATCAAAAATGTTTTCAAAAGTGTCAATCAGAATAAATAAAAACAAATGTGTTGAACTGCTAGTTTTTGCAGATGTACAGAAAAAAACTATTTTTTTAATGAAAAATGAGTGAAACACACTAAATATTGATTGAATTGGTATTCACTGAGCTGAAGATAATGTTTATGGAGACAAATATATATTTTTAAGTACTTTTGGTTAAACATGCATCAGGACAATTTGATCCAGAACATTATTGCTGCTGCTCCATTTACAAAAGTGTTTGTGTATAAATGCTGTGTGTGTTTATTGCGTCTGTTCTGCAGGACTGTTTGATACGTAGAAAGCTGTAGTTGACCCTTTTATCTCGGCACGGCCGTCTTCGTGAAGAGGTGCGAATTTTTTTTCACAGCAACCCTTTCACCTCTCATTGATCGCTAGCAGCTCAACATTTCACACACAGAGAGGCGACAGAGTCCTAGTTCATCGTGTAACAGAGTTACGGGGACAAATATTTATTTCAATTCCATCAATAAAAATATCTATAAAAAGTCAATTTCCATTCCTCTGGCCACTAGGGGGCACTGCAGAAAGCGGCTACTGCATTTTTCAACCTAATCTCTAGCGTTACTACGGACTAGAGCTTTAATCTGGCCTAAATTTTGGCCCGAATCCGAATACAGCCAGTGAACTTCATGTCCAACCCAAACCAAATCATCGAGAGCCTGAGGCCAAATCAAGCCCGACTCAAACCAAACGGTCATGTTTTGAGACTGAAACTGAACCAACCTCGAGAAAATTCTGGCGAATTAATCCTGATGGGATAGCACTGCTTAACCTCTTAAATGGTCAGGGCCCACCGGTGGCCCAAAGTTTTATTACATGCTTCTATAACCTAAGAATAGCTCCACCAGTTTGCATTGAAGTCCCTGTAGTTACTGAATAATAAGCCTCAGTAATAAGACAGATTAAATTACAACATAAATAACAGCCATAGTGACATTACAGAAAAAAATACGATGTAATAAAGTTACGGTTAAATTCCACTTTAATGAATTTATCATTGAGCAATTTATTCAAACAACATCCCAGAGATATTTTAGGTTGTTTTCACACTTGTCCCGAATACCTCAGTCGCACCCAGGACTGATTCTGGGCTCGTCTGGGGGAGGAGCTCATCATCTCTGGTTTGCTTTCACACTCAAGAATTCTATCCGAGCCGTGGACGGACTGCACAATTCCACACGCACTTCTCTGCGAGCAGCTTCATCTGTTTGCTGCCTTTTATTATTTCCCTTGGATACAAACACTGAAGCGGTGAAGAGCAGCTGTTTCTGTCCACAGCCGTCCTCTCCCCGTCACCACACTCGAAATGGGAATGACGCGACAAGTCAAAGCAGCCACGTTACAGAATGAACCAACCACGCAGCCCCACACACGGCGCCGGGAGCGGAGAGCTTCCACACGCGCAGCGGACCCAGCAGAGTTCCCCCAGACCACCGACTTCAGGAGGACCAGAGATCCGTTCTCTGTTCTGCTCCCGGCTCAAAAACAGCTTTTACTTCTCGCTGCTGATTCATGAGTGTCAGATAAGCTGATGAAGAGAGAGAGGAAGAATAAACAAAGATAAAACTAAAGCAAATAAGTCAAATCTGTTCGAGCTGAGAGGAGCTCAGAACTCACTCCTTCATTACAGACGTCAGTGATAAACTACTGACTGAAATATCAGCGTTATTTCTCTAATATGTTTCTCTCCGACAGGCTGATTATGTGCTGTACACTCTTTAAAAGATGGTTCTTTAAGGGTTCTTTAGTAAAGAAAATGGTTGTATATAGAACCATGACAATTCGAAGAACCCTTTGCCTGATTAAAAGATTCTTGTCTGCTGTGTCTGTAGTTCTTCAAGAGTTCTTTAGTGAAGGGAATGGTGCTGTTCAGAACCATGACTTCTATATAGAACCGTTTGCATGCTTTAATGGTTCCTTTCTTGATGAAAGTGTTCTTCTATTGTTACAATGTCAAGCTTATTATAATAGAAGAACGTTTTTTGGTGTTATAGATCCCTTTTCAGAAAGGTTCTATGTAGAAACATCTACTGCACATTCTCCATCAATCTGAAGAACCATTTCACGATGCCAAGAATCTTTTAATCATGCAGAGGGTTCTCTCATCATCACAAGCTTGAAATCGTAACAATACATGAAGGTTTTTTTGGTGCTACATAGAACCCTTTTAATAAAGTGTCTATACAGAAGCATCCATGATGCATTCTCTGTCAATCTGAAGAACCATTTCACCAGGCAAAGAACCACTTAAGCAGGCAAATGGTTCTATATAGAACTCAGGGTTCTAAACAGAACCATTGCCTTTACTAAAGAACCCTTGAAGAACCGTCTCTGTGAGTATGTACACTACAGACACAGCAGACAGAGATCAGGATGGAGAGCAGCAGCTCCTTTAGCCGGTCCTGGGTGTGGTGTAACTGAGTAATGCTGCTTAATGCAGTATTCGACCCGTGAGCGTCAGGAGGAGGAGCCTGTGTGGCTCCTCTGAGCTCCTCCAAGCAGGATCTGAGCGCATTCTGTAAATACAGGAGTGCCTCTCCTGCACAAGCACTTCACTGTCCTTACGTACAGTTCACACACGCCAACAGTGAAAGCAAACCCCAGTGAGCAGGTCTGGAGGCATCGCTCCCCACAGCACTTTAAAGGCCAGTTTTTACTGACTCTGACCTCTTTACAGTGGTGGTGATAGGAACCAGGGGTCGCCATGACTACAACACAGATATAGACATTTTATTTACTATCCAGAACCACCAGTGAACCTACACGAGTCTTCTGAGTTTATATGGAATGTTGATGATGGAAAATAGTGGAAAATCTGAAATAATAAGTTTTCTTTGGGGACTATTTTGCCTCACAGCGCCCTGCATGTATCCCTCCACCATGAATGGAGTTTAAGTTCTCTAAACTATCATAAAACAGTGTCTCAGTCATCAGGCAGTGAATTCATAACCATTTCATGTAGGAACTTTCTGTGAGGGAGCTTTTAGAGGTGGACGTCTGGTTCCTATCACCACCACTGTGAACAGTTCTGACTCGGTGAGTTTCTCTAGAAACCAAACCACTCAACGACTCTGTTTACATCTTAACTGTTTAATTATGCTGAGAAAAGCCATCGTTACATGTCTCAAGACAGACGGTAACTGT